ACAGAGAGTAGAGAGATACAGAGAGGGAGGTGGGCAGATGGAGGGACAAAGAGAGAGAATGAAGGAGAGAGATATAGAGACCAAGAAAAGGCAAGAGAGAGAGAGAAGAGAGATGATGAGGCCTAGACTGCTCTGCACCGTCGGGTCACTAGCTCTGAGTCCATTCATTAAAGGCGAATGAGAATTTTAAACCGCATACGAAATCATAATTGCATTTTCTACCGGCAGTCCCCTGTGCTAACGATGAAATTGTTTACCTGTGGGACTACATCTCTTCCTCGCTCTCTCCTAAAATTCTTTCTCTCAGTTCCCGTCTCCTCCTAGCCTTACACCTCATGCACACAAACACAGCGGTGCTGGAAATTGCCCCAAAACTGTCATCGAAAGAGAGGAAAAGAGACACGAAGAAAAGACGAAGAAAGAAGGGGAGGGAAAGAATCTCTAGAACTATATCTTCCACACAGACACTCTCTTGTCCTCCTGTCATAAAGGTCTTGTCCTCGGGGGCAAACAAAGTGCCGTTGAGATGGGATGATTGCTCGGGGAGAGAGAGAGAGAGACTTACTCTCTACGCTGTCTGTCATCGTAACAATTCAGACACACTCGGAATAATAAAACACTCCACTTTTTTTCCAAATGGACCACCTAAACCCTCCTCGACGTTGTTATTATGCGCTACATGACCATTAAGCAAAAGCCTGAACTGGAGGTCAGGCAGCCGAACAACTTTCCCAAGGTTCGTTCCCAGAGCCACGGCCGTTTTTTCTAGAAAAGTTTAAAACGCGGTTGCAGGGAATTGGATCGATTTTCTAAATTACTGTCTCCTGTTCATCTCCACTGCTGTTCTAACCCCCTGCTCAGACAGTATGTCAGCTGATACTCAATACATGTCTGACTGAGGGGGGAAATTATATATTCATATTGACATAGCCATTACGGAGTCCATTAACTGGCACTGAGGGTTGTATTTAATTGGCTTTTTAGAAGGTACACGTCTGAATTGTGGACATCGCTGGATCCGGCAACTGCTTTTTAGGTGAAAGTAGCAGAAACGACTCTTTTAGCACCTAAAGTTTGTGTGGTATATGAATCAGGCTTAATTGCTCCAAAAACAACAGAAATCATTAAAATAAAACCAAATAAACTTCTGAAAATGAAGCTTAATTAAAGGTGAATGTAGTACTGTTTTTATGTTTTTTTGCTTTTATTTTCCCAGCGCACCCATAACAATGTTCTTTTTTTTTCCCACTGTGTAATTACAAGCCTCGTAAAGAGCCATACCGGGAGTCGTTTTACAATGTGAGCAAATTAAAATTGAACTAATTTCCTAGATCCAAATGACCACTTTGTTATCACTCCTGCCTCCAGCGCTGCCTCATCCTGCTTTGCATCCTTTGATATTGAGAGCTGAACCGTTCTGCAGCATGGCTGCCTGTGGATCCTCTGGGGAAAGGTAAATGCTGCAGAATCGTACCGTTCTTGGTATCACTGGTCTTCACTTCACTGAGGCAGATCTACGTCTTCTGTTGGCCTAATTAGAGCTGCCATGGGTCTTGTAAAAATACCAATACTTGTGGTTCTAGTTAGAGGTCATAATAAGAGTAATACTAGTAATAAGATCAGGAGCAGTAGCACTAAGAACAGAAATAATTGGAACTACAGTGGTAAATTGATATAAAAGGATATTTCTTCAACTTTGGACTCTCTTATATCCCAGGGGTTATTTTTTGTTCAAACATTGTTTTTTTTTGTTTTTTTATGAATATTTTATTGTGTCATCTCCAGTCGTGCTGTAATTTTGACAAATTATGCACAAAGTGTGAAAATATATTTTAATTGTGTGTATTTGGGATACAAAAAAAAAGCTAGCTGTGAAATTAGCCTTAAGACATTTTATTCCAAAATGTTTCAAATATATTTTCAACCACCATCATTTTCATAACAGAAACACTATATATAACTTGACAATGCATTTTCATGACTTTCAGGGGGAAAAAAACTGTCTACTGTCTGACATTATCTTATAGTTCACAACTTCAGTGGTAAAAAAAAATAATAATTTTAATGTTTGTTTGTTTTTTTTCATTAAAATTATTTAAAATATAGCTTTTTATTTAAAATGTCGTTCCCTTTCAGTTGACATCTTGAACCACTTTTAATTTTTAACTACCTTGTCTCATCTGGAATTTAATGCACAATTTTCCAATAAATTCCGAAAAGATAAAAGACCCACCCACATTTTCTTCTATGCAATATCCTGTTTCACTTCAAAATATGTCTTATTGTGAAAATAAAATGGGTTGCGATCCGCATTTCACATTGACTTTAATGTGCAAACCAGGAAAGATAATTTTTCTCAGATCTGTTTGGTGGCTTATTTGTTTGACTGCTTGTCGTATTTGCACTTCCATAATATATGCTCTCCATTTCCGTGAAATAGAAGTTGACTTTGTTTACAACAGATCTAAATAAAAGTAAGAACCCTCATTAATGATTTATGCATTGGAGTTGTTTTCCTTGCTAGGAAAGCTGCCAAACGCCTGTACCGATTTTAAAAGATGCTAACAGAGGTCCTGCGCACACAACTTGTTTCCCTGCATCACAATAAGGACGAAAGGCTGCTGGGGAAGCTCTCCGGGAATGGCCCTGTTACTGGAGAAGGTGTCTGGAGTCAGAGAGAAACAGATCAATGCCTGTAATGTTGTGGCTATAGAGATTTACCAACCTCTGAGGAGCAAATTTAAATAAGAGTAAAACTAGTGTGTGTATTTGTGTGTGAGAGAGAGAGAGGTAGAGACACTACAGAAAGAGATCTGCTATCTTACATCTATGATGTGTGTAAGTATATGTGCTTGTGTGTGTACCACTTAACTCAGTCTCGTCTGGCTGCTCTCCTGGGCCTTGGCGAGTCTTTCAGTGTGGAGTCTAAGTCCAAGACGGGGAGTGTTTAAGAGCTGCTATGGTTTGGAGCATAGAAAAGATCAAATGAGTTAGGCTGCACACTGGAGAGAAAGAGAGAGACTGAGAGAGGGAGAAGCTGAAGCTTTTAATGTATCTCTTAAGCTACCAGTTCCATGGAGACTGATGGGGTAGTTAAAGATTGAAAACATTACCTCACATTTTATCTGTCTTATACATGTCCATATTTTAACCGGTCATTTAGGGATGTTTGTCTGCATGTGAGTTTAGACCAACAATATAATATTTAAATAACATAAAATATTTAATTTGTCAAATAGGGAATGCTAGAATGAGTCTTGTGTGAACATGATTGCAAAGTGGATTATTAATGTTTTTGAAAGAAGTCAATTATTCTTACAAAGGCTGCATTTATTTGCAATAATACATTAAATCAGTAATATTGTGAAAATGCTATTACATTTTTTTTTTTTTTTTTTTTTTTTCTTTGATGCAAAGCTGATTTTTCAGCAGCCATTCCTGCAGTCTTCAGTGTAAGATGATCCTTTAGAAGTAATTTTAATATGCTGATTTGCTGCTCAAGAAATGTTTTTTATTAACAATGTTCAAAACGTCTCCAGGTTACGTATGTAACCATGGTTCCCCGAAGGGAACGAGACGCTGCGTCGAAATGCTACGGGAACGCCTCCAGCGTGACCACGCTCTGAATCACATGTGTAATCAGTCCAATGGATGGGCGAGACGTCACGGGCGGGGTGTCGTAGCGACCAGGAAGCATAAAAGCACGTGCGGTGAAACCAACGTCACCTTCTAGGAGTGAAGCAAGTGCTGGCAGGGATGCCGGAAGTATGGCCCTGAGACGCAGCGTCTCGTTCCCTTCGGGGAACCATGGTTACATACGTAACCTGGAGACGTTCCCCTTCAGGAACTCGAGCTGCATCGAAACGCTACGGGAACGAGAATACCCACGCCGCCAGACTTGCAAATCCCTGCCTAGTGTGGAAGAGTACAACTGAGGCGAGAGAAAAGGGAGCCAGGAGTGGCTAAAGTAGACGGGGCCCGCCATCCCGAAGGCCAACTTCTGGAGGAGGAGATGGATGAGTCAGAGAGAGAACCTGAGGGGACCATGCGATATCATCTGAGTCGCAAACAAGTCCACCTGAGCCTGGCCAAAGACTCTCCAAGTCTGCTTCACCCCTCGGGGTGAGACATCTATTCCCCGGGCCTCGGCCCGTGCCTCGACAGGATGTCTGCCCCCACATATATAAAAGACCACTGCTGTGTTGTCGGTGCGTACCAACACATAGCGATCTCTTAGGCCTAAGAGGAAGTGTTTCAAAGCTAGAAACACGGCCAGCATCTCCGCACGTAGGCACTGCCACGTGACCTTGAGCATGCGAAGCGGGTTTCCCTTCGGGGAGAACCCCTTGGTCTTAAGCCACCACTGTAGGGGTCTCATGTACAGCAGGCCAAAAGTAACAACATTGGACGCGGCTGCCATCAGACCCAGCAGTCTGGAACGCTGGAGGTGTTCCCGTAGCGTTTCGACGCAGCTCGAGTTCCTGAAGGGGAACAGCTATTCTGCTTGATATTTATGTAGAAACCATGATTTTTTTTTCAAGATTAGCCTATTTGTAGAATAGAACATTTAGAATATATATCAGCATATACAGTATTTGAAACAGAAATCTTGTATAACATTATAAATGTCTTTACTGTCACTTTTAATCAATTTAATGCATCATTACTGTATAAAAGTTTATTTTATAAAAAAATAAATAATAATAATAATAATTAAAAAATAAACAGTCTTACTGACTCCAAACTTGGTAAAAATGAATATGTGTTATCCTATAAATAATATAATATATTAAAGTTTTAAAGCCTTTATTATTCTAAAGCCTTCTTCATTTGTGATTTCCCGCAGCAAATAGGGATATATATATATATATTTGATTAACAGTTAATTTGATTAAATAATTTGCATACTGTATCATTCAATTTAATGTTCAATTAAATTTGTATTATCAATAAATCCTGGAACGCACAGCCATAACGTTTCTCTTATGTTTTCTCCACAGCCTGCAGACCTGGGTTCTACAAAGCCTTTGCAGGAAACATCAAATGTTCAAAGTGTCCCCCACACAGTTCCAGCCACACCGAGGGTTCGGCACAATGTCACTGCGAAAAAAACTACTACAGAGCCAGCAAGGACCCTCCCACCATGGCCTGCACACGTTAGTCAGCCTACTGCTCTGTTTTCATTCATTTCCAGTTTTATTTATTTATTTATTTTTATTTTTATTTTTTTTCAGTTTCAATTTTAGTGTGCTTTACATGCAGTGAAGAAACAGCACATTTGTTTTTCCAAATTGGTGGCAGCTTTAAAAAATAGTTTAAATAACCAAATAATATTTAAAGGAATAGTTCACCAAAGAGATGAGTTTGTTCATCAGAACAGATTTGGAGAAATTTAGCATTACATCATCAGTGGATCCTCTTCAGTGAATGGGTGCCATCAGAATGAGCCCAAACAGCTGATAAAAACAAGCAAAAAATATTCTAAAACAGTGGGAAGACAACAGATGATTTTTTTTTTCTTTATTCCCTGAAAGAAGCATTATTATCGATTATGGGCTCATATTTTAGTCAGAAACAATGGTTTGAAGTTAAAAACATCTTAATGATGGATTTGTTTCTTACAAACACGCAGCTTGTGGCTTCACGAGATTTTAATTGATAGACTGGAGTGGTGTGGATAACTTGTGGATTATCGTGATGTTTTTATCAACCTTTTGGACTCTCATTCTGATGGCACCCATTCACTGCAGAGGATCTGAGCAAGTGATGAAATTCTGAATTTCTCCAAAATATATGAATAAACAAACTCATTAACTATTCCTTTAAGCAATTTCACACAAGCTAGAGTCTATCCTGTAATATCAGAGTGTGATCTGATCATCCTCACAACAAGACGAACACTACAACTATATTGCAATGATTTTAATATTGAAGTTCTCCCGGGTCATTTTCAATAGCATCTATAACTGTGACACAAGAAGATTCCAGCTGCATTTGTATGAAGTGAGAGTGAACGAGTCAGCGGTGTGATAAAGGATATGTGAATGTTTTCAGTGCACCAGTTTCAGTTTCCCAAGGGAGAAATAAATATATAAAATAAGATTAAAAAGATAAAATTCAGTACCAGTGCAGAACAAAAAAGTAATCAAGAGATTTAAATTAAAAGGAATTAATTAAATAAGTATTAATAATTGAGAAAGTAATTAAGAAAGATAAACTAAAGATGAACAATAAGACTAAATGTGCCAAAAATAGTGATATTGTTAATAATAATAATGTTCTCTCTCATCATTCTCATTCTCATTCTCATTTCTACTCTTATTGTTTCTGATTCTATCGATCAGAATTCCAGTTATTTCAGTCTTCTGCTTCATCACCCTCTTCCCTTTCCCTTCTTCTGCCCCCCATCGCGCTTACCCAAATTATTCACCAAACTCAATCTTTTCAACACCAGCAGCAATCTGCATTAAAAACAGGAGAGGAGGAATAATTACTTCCTTGTTATTCACGAGTGGGTGCAATTATCATTAACTATGATAATCATGCCTAGGACATATTCTCATTATCATCATTAGCTAGGTCTGGGAAACAGCAGATAAACGCAGACTTCCCTGTATCTGGCTCTGAGCCGGCATTCTATAGGAAGCAGAACCAGGGTACTAGAGCAGAGACATTTGTATATCAGCGAAACCAGAGGGAGGGAGTGAAAGAGAGATGGCAAATGCTCTCGAGTGGTTTTTAAGGCATTAAAAGGATTCATTAGTTAATGCATATGCACCATTTTTGAGAGAGCGGAAAAAAGATAAAAATTCTTAATCTGCATAATATTTTGCTCAAATAGGTGTTTTTTTTTCCTCTCACAGATGGATTTCTGTCAGCATGATAATTATGGTTGCTAAGGACTCGGTGTGTCTTTTCTTTTAGGACCGCCCTCCTCTCCTCGAAACATGGTTTTTAACATCAATGAGACCGCCCTCTTTCTGGAGTGGACTCCGCCCAGCGACACAGGTGGTCGGAAGGATGTAAGCTATAATGTCTTCTGTTTCCGATGTGGAGCTGATGGCCAGGCCTGCGAGGCATGCAACAACAACGTGCGCTTCGTACCCAAACCCACGGGCCTCACAAGCACCTCTGTGGTGGTCCAGGACTTTGTGGCGCATGCCAACTACACATTCCAAATCGAGGCCCTGAATGGAGTGTCGGGCTTGGGCAGATCCGAGAGACAGCTTGCCAATATCACCATCAGCACAGAGCAGGCTGGTGAGTAGAGATTTATTAACACTGAACTGACTCGAACTGAACAGGGGATCGTTGATATTCTAGGCTTTTTTAAGTTTAAAGTTATGTTGTGACAATATACTCACAAACAAGGCTCACATTACAGAATAATTTAGGAGTGGACTAAACAGATATCTGCATGTGATTCTGATGCTGTAACGTATCCGGTCCATGAACTTCCGTCTGCTAGCCATCAGAGGTCACCCTTTCCATTTTCATTGACTCTCGCACTACACACTGTTGCATATCACCCCGGACTACATATCCCATCATTCATTGCACTGATTGCACACAGCACTGATTGCACACAGCTGTTTCATATCACTCACTCACTATTTAACACTCCATCTCACTCCTGCTAACTGCCGAGTATTGTATGCGCTTATCGCCAGTAGTGATAGCTACTCTACAGAGCCCTCGTTAGCTTCCTAGCCTAGCCTAGCCTAGCCTAGCCTAGCCTAGCCTAGCCTGTTTTCTCAGTTTCTGATCCGTGCCTGTTTTCCTGGATTTATCCCTTTAGTCTTGCCCTTTTGATTCTGTTCGCCGATCGAAGACCCACGCTAGCCCTAGGATTATTCTTGTGTCTTGCCCGCCATATACCTGTTTGCCATTGTTCGACCCTGCCTGTGTTTCTGACCTCCTCTGCTTTAATAAAAGCTTGCACATGGATCCGCACGTCTCACGTCTTGTCAGCCCCGTAACAGATGCATTAAAATGATACATTAATAAAGAAAAGAGCTTATTCATTAATTATTATGTTGTAGGTATAATCAGTATAGTATAGGGAAGGCTTCATAGGTGGACAACTGGAACTGCAGGCTGTCTTCCAACAGCTCATAAAAAATACTTAAACAATTAAATTAAATTAAATTAAATTAAATTAAAGTTCGGGGTCAGTAATTTTTTTAAAGAAATTAATACTTTAAATTAGCAAGGATACAATAAATCAACCAACAGATATACTAAAACATTTATAAAGTTATGAAATATTTTTATTTAAAGTAAATGCCATTCTTTTGAACATCCTATTAAATCAATTTCAAAGAAATAAAAAAAATGATGTGTCACAGTTTCTACAAAAATATGAAGTAGCATGAGTGTTTTCAACATTGCTAATAATAAGAAATGTTTCTTGAGCTGCAAATCAGAATATTAGAATAATTTATGAAGGATCATGTGACACTGAAGACTGAAATAATGGCTGCGATAATTCAACTTCACAGCAATAAATAACATTGTAAGATACAATAAAGTAGAATTTATTTTATTAAATATTTCATAATATTGCTTTGTTTGCTGTGTTTTTGAACAATTAAGTGTAGCACTGCTGAAAGAAATTTTAAATAAATAAAATAAAAACGTACAGACCCCAAACGTTTGAACAGTTAACATATATAGGCATAGTTCATAACTACTTCAGAGTTATGTGCCCTCTAGAAGCTTGCGTTCTGCAAGTGAACGGCGTATTATTGTGCCATCTAAAAGAGGCACAAAATCACTTTCACAGACTTTTTCATTAACTGTTCCCTCCTGGTGGAATGACCTGCCCAAATCAATCCGAGCAGCTGAGTCCTTAACCATCTTCAAGAAACGACTAAAAACACATCTGTTCCACCTTTATTTGACCCTCTAACTCTAACACTTTCTATTCTATTTTAATTCTACTTTATCTATATTTGTTTTATTTTTTTTATTCTTTATTTAAAAAAAAACAACAAAAAGCAAACACTAGCTTTCTATTTTTTCTATTCTATCTACTTGTTTTTCTTTGTTTGTGTGTGTATGTGTGTGTGTGTGTGTGTATAATATATATATATATATATATATATATACACACTTTGCTACGTGTACTGCGTTAGGCTAACCGAGACTTGTCATTTGCACTTATATATTGTTGCTCTTTTGTTAGTTTTGACTGCTTTTATTGTCCTCATTTGTAAGTCCCTTTGGATAAAAGCGTCTGCTAAATGACTAAATGTAAATGTAAATATAGGCCTATTCTTATCTACTTGGTTAGAATTGGTCCAATTTGTAGTTAATCTTAAACAGTCTTGACTGGTTAAATTATAGCGTCTCAGATTCTCATTCCAACCTCTGTCTCCTGATGTTCTGAGCAATAGACCTGCTAGCACGCTTTCCCAGTCTGTAAAAAAAAAAAAACCTTGGCACAAGGTATTCATAACTATTGCCATCCTGGCCAGACTCTCATTGTTCATCATGATAATGATGATAACTGCAAATTTAATTTCATCCTGGAGAGGCATTGTCTCAGCACATCAAACGTCTCCTGGCCTAAGCTCAGTTTCACACTAATAGAGACACACTGCTTTATCTAAAAGCCTGCTGTCTTCCTCAATCTGGCTGCTGTATCTGCAGATATGGCCAAACTTCATTATTAGAATCTGCCCAAGTCTCCACAGGACGGCTCTCTCGACTCTCAGGACTTATTCTCACATCGTTTTTATCAATTTCCCTGTGTGTGCCCATTTCCTGTGCTCTGACTGATGATTCGCTGCTCACTTTTATTGGCTGGATTGTGCTTCAGCTTCATTGGTTTGTGTTTTGGTAAAGCAGAGCGATTCAACCGTTTCCTCATCTTTGGTTATCTAGATGTCTCCTTTAAAGGAACAGTATGAAGTACAATTTGTTGCATGAAGTACTGCAACATGATGAATGATTTTATGTCTGGAGAAGTGTGAGAGGTTAAAAGTCATATCTGGACCAGGTGGTCTTATACAGCAGGGCAGGGTATAAAATGGCAGGGTCATTTTATCCTTTGTAAAGACAGGGAGGCTCATCAGCATCAGTGTCATTGAGGAAGAAAGATTGATTGATATGATCAATCTGCCTCATGAGCTGTAATCACAGTGAAGAGCTTCACACCCATCCTTCAAGCCCTCAATCTACCACCTGTGGAGAGGGAAAGAGACAGAGCATAGGGACGAAATTGAGCTGCACAGTGTATATATAGCAACTGAAAATATTCAGAGCAGTTTTGTAGAGACTTTTCAAAATATATGAATTGTATTGATTTAGAGCAGGGACTCCTAAATGGACAAAAAGACTAAATAAAATCCTGTCATCATTTACTCACCCTCATAATGCTCCAAACCTGTATTCCTTTCTTTCTTCTACATTACAGAAGATATTTTGAAGAGTCCTGGCTGAGGTCTGAGTAGGCTGAGTCTGAGTCTAAATGATTTTGGATCTATGACAAGTCCAAAACTATGAAAGTATGGTCTTGGACCCGGTCTTGAGGTGAACTTGAGAGACTATTCCTTTAAAATCCTGTATTTACATCATTTATGATGATTATGTTGCATAGGTGATAAAATAATTATTGCTGATGTACAGAATCAAATAATTGAATATTTGCCAAATAATTACATATAAATGTATAAATGAATGAATGAATGAATAAATGAATGAATGAATGCATGCATGCATGAATAAATAAATAAAATAATAATAGGTGCCCTTTAAAAAGGTCATTTTTAGAGGAATTTATGAAGCCAGTGACCCTAGCAAAGCATCATGATTCAAGAGATCCAAACAAGCCTTAATGGTGAACTCTCACCGCCA